GCAGAAAATAATGCGACACCTGAGGATCAGGTGAGGTCTGGGAAGGAGGAGTTGGCTAGTCACCAGGAATTGAAAGTTGCCCCCTGCCCTGAAAGCTGGCACTGACGGCAGGAGTTGTTGGAGCCCAAATGGCCGAGAGATCCTGGCTTGGGTCTGGCCGTGTGCCTCTGATATTTCTTCCCCTGAGCGATAAAGAGATCCTACAGAGGCATTCCTGTTTTTTTCCTCTTTGCCACACCCCTTCTTACGCAAAATCTGGTGTGCTTCACCCTGGCCCAGCTGTCTGCGCCAAGTTGGGAGGGGGGGGAGCACTTGGCTACCTTTGAGAGAAAATAGTTTCAGCTTCCTCAGCAGCCGATGCTTAACCCCATCAGAGCGCCAGGAGACATGCAAGCAGCAGTCGGAGAATGTCAGGGCCCTGGCTGGATTCTGTGAGTCATGCAGGAGGGCCCAGCTGGAACTGACACAGTTCTTGCTGTAAAAATTGCTTGCTTGAAAGTAGGTGGATACCTATGTCTAAAATTTATATTACAGTATTTGAAGATAACTGATTTAGGCTTATGATTGGCCTTACCCTTTTAATCTAAATATGGCCTATTTACTGTATTAATTTTTAAACCAATACTTAATAGCAACCCATTGACTAACCTGTAAGGCTTGAATTAAATAGTAGATGTGGCTGGTGGTGGTGCTGAAAGCATCATACAAGTGATGCTCTACAGCAGCCATTCTACAAACCTTTTCTTAAAAAAAAATAAGGCCATAAACACAATATGAAAGAATTCTAGGCTGAATCAGTATTGTATAAGTCATGTAACAAACCTTATAAGTTGGTGTGTGAAGAATTGTTTCCAGTCTGTGGCCCCCTTCAAATGTGCCAGGGCTCCCCAGGGGCCCATATGGACCCTGTTGAGAATGGCTGCTCTATAGCAGTAGTTCCCAACCTCTTTTTGAGTTGTGACCCACTTTTATACTAGCTAAGTGACCTGCAAACGGCCCAGGAAGATTTTACTTCTAAGAAATCAGGTTTTTACAGGCAGTGAGAAGACTAGCTTACCCACCATAGTTTGGCCACCATAGGAATTCAGGCTATTGGGACAACCTGGATTTGGAAGATCACTGACAACAGAGAAAGCTTTCCAGTGTGACTGGGATTGCTGCTTCATTAGCAGAGCTTAAGAATAAGACTCTAAAGAGGTTTTATAGCTGTTGCAAAGATAACAGTATTTTTTAAAAGATACCTTTAATAGAGATGTTTAATATTCTGTTTGATTTTTTGGTGGAATTACTATTTTTCAGTGTTTTCCATTGGTTGTGAAGAAATAATATCAAAATAAAGGCCAGTTACCAGGAAAAACTCTTTAAGGCCATGTTTAGCAGCTTCACCATGGGAAATGTTAAAAAAA